GTTGACCAGGATGGTCTCGATCTCTTGACCTCGTGATCCACCCGCCTCGGCCTCCCAAAGTGCTGGGATTACAGGCTTGAGCCACCGCGCCCGGCCTCTTTTGTTATTCTTTTTGTTTACTTTTTTTGGAGACGGAGTCTTGCTCTGTTGCCTGGGCTGGAGTGCAATGGCACGATCTCAGCTCACTGCAACCTTCGCCTCCTGGGTTCACGCAGTTCTGCCTCAGCCTCCCAAGTAGCTGGAATTGTAAGTGCCCACCACCATGCCCTGCTAATTTTTTTTGTATTTGTAGTGAGTCAGGCCTTGAACTCTTGACCTTGTGATCTGCCTGCCTCAGCCTCCCAAAGTGCTGGGATTACAGGCATGAGCCAATGTGCCTGGCCTAATTTTTGTGTTTTTAATAGAGACGAAGTTTCACTATGTTGGCCAGGTTGTTCTCGAACTCCTGGGCTCAAGTGATCCACCTGCCTTGGCCTCCCAAAGTGTTGGGATTACAGATGTGAGCCACCATGCCCCAGGCTCATGGCATAACATTGTGTATTACCTATTAATAAACTTAGATAAAATATTGTATCTGGGCCATGTGTGGTAGGAGAGGATCTTTTGGGGAGGTTCAGGAGTTCGTGATCAGCCTAGGCAATATGACAAGACCTTGTCTCTACAAAAAATTTTAAAAATTAGTTGGGTGTGGTGGTGTTTGCTGTGGTCCCAGCTTAGGAGGCAAAGGTGGAAGCATTGCTTGAGCCCAGGAGATTGAGACTGCAGTGAGTGATGAATCCATCATTGCATTCCAGCCTGTGCAACAAAGTGAGTCCCTCTCTGGGAAAAAAAAAAAAAGGATCTGAAAACTTACTTTTCTCTTCTATTCCTGGAAAGCTGTCTTTTTTCCTTACTGACTACTGTAATTTACTGATTATTATGAGAGGCCTCTGCCATTAGGTGCCTTAGTTCTGAAATAGTTGCTTGGACCCTTTCTCCTTAGATTTTATAGTTTGATGATTATCTATTTTGGCTGGTCAGAGAGACTTGCCTTTTGCTTTGAAATGAACAGAATAATTCAGTATATTTTTTATTAGTTTTGATTTATAATGTAACTATATTTCTATATATTTTTCTAAATATCTTCTACAGTTTACTATATTTCTTATGGGCAAAACATGGTGAAATACTATTTCCTTTTTCCAAGATTTTTGCACATCTTTAGCAATAGAGTAGTAGTAAATTGTTGAGTTCTTGTTACTTAAATCTTTGTTAAAATGTAGAGTAAGTTCTATGAACTCTAAGAGTTGCAGGGATACTTTGTGAATTTAAGGTGATTACTTCCTGCATTTCATTTCTAGTTTTAAATTTTTAAGCTTTTGGGACAGAGTCTCCCTTTGTTGCCCAGGGTGGAGTTCAGTGGTATGGTGATGGTTCACTACAGCTTTGACTTCCTGGGCTCAAATGATCCTCCCATCTGAGGACTGCCCGTCCCCATCTGCCCAGCTAATTTGTTTTGAGAAAAGAGGTTTTTGTTTGTTTGTTATTTTTTGTTTTTATTTTGTTTTTGTTTATTTTTAAACGGTTTCATTCTTGTTGCCCAGGATGGAGTGCAATGGCAGGATCTTGGCTCACAGTTAACCTCCACCTCCCGGGTTCAAGCGATTCTCGTGCCTCAGCCTCCCGAGTAGCTGAGATTACAGGCATACACCACCACACCTGGCAAATTTTTGTATTATTAGTAGATACAGGGTTCCTCCATGTTGGTCAGGCTGGTCTCCAACTCTGGACCTCAGGTGATCTGCCTGACTTGGCCTCCCAAAGTGCTGGGATTATAGGCGTGAGCTACCGTGCCCTGCCTGAGACAGAGTTTTGATGTCACCAAGGCTGGAGTGCAGTGAAGCAATCTTGTTTCACTGCAACCTCTGCCTCCCAGGCTCAAGCAATTCTCCTGCCTCAGCTTCCCAAGTAGCTGGGATTATAGGCACATGCCACCACACCTGGTTAATCTTTGTATTTTTAGTAGAGACAGGGTTTCACCATGCTGGGCAGGCTGGTCTTGAATTCCTGATCTCAAGTGATCTGCCTGTCCCAGCCTCCCAGAGTGCTGGGATTACAGGCGTGAGCCACTGTACCCTTCCTAAGTTCTAATTTTATTCTTTTTTATTGAGACAGAGTCTCACATTGTCACCCGGGCTGGAGTGCAATGGTGCGATCTCGACTCACAGTAACCTCCGCCTCCTGGATTCAAGTGATTCTCCTGCCTCATTGCAGGCATCCGCCACCACACCTGGCTAATTTATATATATATATATATATATATAT